TTAAAATGGAGTCTGAATATTTAATTCACGATAATATTCCCTGATAGTACCTATAATCACAAAAACCCTGAATCCAAAAACCCGAATCTAATTATGCAGGCCTATATCTGAATCTGTGTCGCTTCAGCTTCGTGAAACGTGGCCCCTATATTAGTATACTTACCCTGAGTCACTGAGGTTCAGTATTGCCAAGCACAACCGGGAAAGCAGACTCGGCCGGAATGCTCCCAATTCAACTCCTACTTCCAAATTCACTGTCCTCGCTTCCAGCTGCAGCGGGGGCGCGCCTGCGAAATGTGCTTGCGTTACTGGGCTTTTAAGTAACCAGAGAGAAAAGTTATAAGCTTGTATTTCATAATGGTTCCTTTAGGGAAAAAAGTCTTAAAGTATGATACTCCAAAGCTCAGTTTAGGACCTCCAACAAATCTACGGCCCTTCCTTAGCCTGCAGACCGCAACCTCTCAACCTCCAACGCGACGGACACGCCAAAAGCACCCTCAACCCAACAAGAGAGAAAACACCCAAGCCCATTCTGAGGAGGTTTTGGGGGGGCAACATTTGAGTAAAGTTAGTTTAGGGTTTGGGGTTTAGTGTTTAGGGTTTTGAAAGGAGCCCAACGATATAGTATGACCACTTTCACATTCAGGCTCCTTGTAAACCCGACCCTACATCCCACCTCGAACCCACCTAGGCTCAGGGCACAAAGCCCAAAGCACCAAGACCCTAAGCGGCAACCCTAAACCCTAAACGAGGGGCCGTAATAATAGAATAGGGTTTGGGGCCCATTTCTAGTATAACTATAGTAAGAACCATAAGGAAAAAGATTGGTAATGATTTAGGCCCCTATAGTGTATAGGCTCCAGATTGCTCTGTGTGTGTGTGTTGAGGGGAAAGATGCTGCAGAGCAGAAACCGATCAAGGCTAGCGCCTGGATTCCAGCCGAAGAGAAGAAGCAAGGATTGTATGCCAGAGTCATAACACATTTCTGGAACATACATACAGAAACCCAAAAACATTCAAATTGAATATGACTTATCTATCTACCTACCTGAAACAATCTATCTGTTTATCTATCGAGATACATGCTTATGCTCACATATACACATACATATACATATGTACATATATATATATATATATATAACTCTATATTTACATTTTCGTTCGGACACGGGAACACATGAACATACTTGAACTCTATCTTTGGCTTGTCGTAAGCATACTTTCGCTGATTCCCGGATCAGTACGACACCGGAAACACCAATACAAGCGAAGCATGCGGAGCACATTGGGCACTGCCTACCGTTGGCGCCTTAAATGCTAGAACAGGGTTTTGGGGCATCTTTTTAATATTTGTAGTAAAATATGAGGGTATAACACAAAAACAACAAACAACTCAGGCTTCAATAGCAATACCGCTGATCTCTCCGAAGCTTTGTTGATGCCAAGCTAGGCGATTGGGGATGGCACGGCAAAAGATGACTACGACGACCACAGTAGTCGTGATGATCATGACGATGATTACAATTACATAATACCAAGCATCCTGACAATAAGCAATACCAACAATACATCTTACAGTAATCCCCTTAAGGTTGGACACCGGATTAAGGCCAAATAGTGCTGGGATTCCCCATACATTACTCTTAAGGATTGAGGCTATTGGGTTTCCAACTTTTCGGCTTCTACTGTAACTGATGTTGATGATGATAATCGTGGTGATGTTGGTGAAGAAGACATCGACTCCTCGGTCCAAAGCTGCATAGGATGTCAACTCCTGCCGTATCCTTTAAAGGGACCCTATTATAGAACCCTATCCCTAAGGGTCCAAAGCACCCAATAATTAGGTACTTGGGTTTAGGATACGAGTTATGTAGCTCAATATTTAGGAGAGTATATGAAGATTAGGTACTGTACTCGGACCCTGCACCCTAAACCCCTAAACCTTAGGGTACAGAGAACCCAAGAACCCAGAGAGCCCAATACCCCTTAATTAAGGAATATAGCTTAAATCATATTATGAAGCCCCTTATAAATGAAGGTATATTGCTTAATTAAGGGGTATTGGGCTCTCTGGGAAGGCTTCCTTTCCAGGTTCCTTGAAGTTAGCTGAGTACACACCGTTTTGTCGAACAGGGCTTGCGCGCTCAACGTGTAAGGATTTAGGGTTTAGGCATTAGAGTTTAGGGGTTAGGGGTTTAGGGTTTAGGGTTTAGTTTAGGGGTTTAGGCTGCTTTATTCGGGATGCTACCCCTCCTCAGGGCACCACAAACCAAGGATCAGGTTGGGGAAGATCGTTCGGATGAAATCTCTGTACCCACCGATCTCTCCAGGAACGGCGGCAGCAGTTTGGCAAGATCTTGTTGGCGGTCATGCCCAAAAGTAGCAAAAGCCAGATATTCAAGGGAATGGCCCAAACCAGCAAAGTGGTAACAACGAGGCAGTATGTCAAAACCCCGTCTGTGACGCCATCACCTTCACCCTGAGATTTGCGTTCGCCACGGCACGACAAAAAGCACACAAGTGCACAAATGGTAAAGTGAAGATGGGGCCTCCATCCCCTTGCCACAGAAGCCAGCACAGCCAGGGCCCAGCCCCGGTCAAAGAAGCCGAGCCTGTCAACTTTCAGCATCCGTAAGATTTCACAGTCATGGACGGTCGATGCAGCTACCAGGCTTGCACGATAAGCCTGAGTTGGTAATGGTAGTTGCGGCGGAATGCAGTTCCAGCAACATGCGGACAACTTGCAGCTGGCCAGCCTTCCAGGCGGCTTCAAGAGCCGGGCCCGCATCACCACCAGCCTCCAACAACAAGTGAAGTACAAGCACGTTGCCATGTTCCAGAGCAGCAGCAAAAGCCGGTTGGTCGCCGGTATCGGATACGTCCAGCGCCCCAGCCTCCACTAGTAAGCACACCATGCCAAGGTTCACTGCTTTCACAGCAGCATGGATGGGTGACAGGTCCTGGTTGCGGAAGCGCGCGGTCAGGTTTGGATCGTGGCAGCTTCGCAACATGTCCTCGACTTTATGACGACAGCCAAGAGAAACAGCTCGTATGAAGATTTTCGCATCCTCCGCAGAAACTTGGCGTAAAGGAAGCAGTACCAGCTGCAGATCTGTAGTCGAGGCCAGTTGAGTATCGTCTTCCAAGACCACACCTCCATCCAAGATTCGTTGCCGGATTCCTGGCACCATGAGCAACTCCTGCAAACGCTTCTTCAGTTCAAAGACGCGCCCAATACCCCAGAGACTCCAATACCCCTTAATTAAGGAATATACCTTAAATTATAGTAGGATCCTTAATGCCTTAATATGATTTAAGGAATATTCCTTAATTAAGGGATATTGGAGTCTCTGGGTACTTGAGATGGGAATCTCGCCACTTGCTTCCCAGAAACCGCCCAAACGCACAGCATCTTGGAGGAGTCGGTATAAAATCCTGATGAAGCCCTAAATAGCCCATCTGCCCCCTAAGCCCTAGTTAAACCCGAAACCCAAAACAAACCTAAAACCCTTAAACACAAGACCTTTAACAGCACCATTCTCCATGCTTTCGGCCCCTCTATAGAAACCCTAAATACCCCTGAACTCTAAACCCTCAACCCCAAAACCCTAGTAAGTGGCCCTAAACCCCTTAACCCTAAAACCCCTAAACCCCTTAACCCTAAACCCCTACACCCCTAGTTTATGGCCCTAAACCCCTAAGCCCTCATGGCGGCACGAGAGAGAGATCCTCAAGAAAGATGGCTGCCGATCCCGGGTCCCGGAAGCTCCGAACACCGACATGCAAGCTCGAACGGCGGGTGTAGGGCTCCTTTAAAGGGTCTTGCAAGGGATCCTATAAAGGGATCTATAATAAGGGGTCACCAAGGAGACAAAGATAGATGTAAAGATATATGGAAAGATAGAGAGATAGTTAGATAGCAAGATAGTTAGATAGGTAGATAGATAGATAGGTAGATAGGCAGATGGACAAATAGGGAGGTAAGTAGGTATTGTAAGCAGGTAAGTAGGTAGATAGATGGACAAGTGTATAGATGGGTAGGTGGGTACATACATTGGGTAGGTAGGTGGGTGGATAGATGGGCAGATAGGTAGACAGATGGATAGGTACGTCGGTAGGTAGCCAGGTAGATAGACAGATCGTGGTGTTGATCGCATTTGGGCTAGTTGATGGTTCCGTGTTTGTGTTTGGGGTTAGGGGCTTGAGGCGTTACAGGGTGGTGTCATGGGTAGTACACTCTTCTCGAAGGTGTTGCACATAAACACAGGGTTTAAGGGAAGACTCATAACAGAGGGCCTTAATAAGTAAAATGGGGCATAGGATTCCTTTACAGGGGTTACTACAAGATGTCGATAATAGGATTCTTTAATGTAGGAGCCTGGGTGGTTAGAATAGGAATAGGGTTTGGGGGCCCGTTACACTATAGTTATGATAAAGAACCCCAAAAAAAGTTTAGGGTTTAGGGATATTGGCAATACATGTCGCAAGAATCGGAGTCATGAACTCCTCGTTCTACCGGGAATCGGGCTTCTGGTGGTTATTATGCCAAAATCGAACTTAGAACTCGTCATCGAAGATTCAGGTCCCTGATTATATTAGAACCCCAAACTATACCGAACTTAGAGCCCTAGCAAAAAATGTAATTTTAGCTGCTTCTTAGGGGTGATAATAATAACCAAAAATTAAAAAGTATTTCTAAGTACCCCCTAAGAAACCCCTGAATCTTGATTCACTTACTACACCAATAAGCCACACAAACACAAGGTGAAACTTTCCGATTCCTCTTCTTAAACTGTAAGAACCCAAAAAGTGAAAAGGTTAGGTACTGGGGATCTTAGCTCCTGCCCTCACATCGTAAACTTGAAAGCTTCAGGACCCAAAACCCTAGGCCCTACCTTAAGCCGGAATAACCTATCTTTTTAAGGACTTATATAAGGAAATCATAGTAAGGAACCCTAAAAAGGTAGGTTATTCCGGCTTAAGGTAGCCCCTAAACCCTAAACCCCAACTCTAAACCCTAAAGTATTTCGTGCTGGCGCGCCCTCGTGGGGATCGCGAGCGAGCCATGGCTGTCAGAAAGAGAGGTAAAGGGTGGATCAACGACGGCGTACCCTTGAGCAAAGCCAACATTTAGGGTTTTATGGCACAGGGGGTGTTAGGGCATTCGGGTGGCCCTGGGGTAGAGGGTTTGTAGCGCGCATGGGGTTGAACTGATTTTTATTGTTTGCTGTTACTCTGTCAAGAATAGGCGTTAATACTGAACTACAATATTGTATGGGGGTATGTTATACGAGAGACTATGTCGAACAGAAGGGGCCCTAGTCAAGAATGTTCAAGACTTTGGTCTCTACCGGGATCTGCGAAGATCTCCAGAACCCTGAACCCTAATCCCGACGACTTCAAAACCCTACACCCTAAACCACTCGCCCGAGGATGCCTTCGCTCCGAAAAACATTAAGTATCGGGGCCTTGAAAACTAGAAAAGGCTTCAGCAAAAGACTAAGGGATCTCCAAGGGTTCCGTGGGGATAGCATTGTAGAAGGCCGCTTCAGGGATCGATTACAAAATTATCACGGCTCCTTAACAATATTAATTTTGATCGTGAATTATTGCTAGTTAAGGATGATTGTTTAAGGTATCTATATATAACGGCTCTTCAGAGCTAATTATTCCGACTTCTATGTTCCATGGACTTAGTCTTGCGGACCAAGCGATTGAAGACTTCACAGAACTCCAGTCAGGCAGGCGGCAGAGCCATCCTGCCGAATCTTGCCTAAAACCCTAAGCATCAAATTCCTAAATCCTGAGTCTCTTAACCTGAATCAGTCATCCGGAAACCCTACAGGGCCGTACGATCCGAAGCAGCATCGCAATAAGTCTGCCGCTAGGAGGCGCACCAATTAGAGAGGTTGAATCTCCGCTAAGGCTGCCCTGCTCCAAGAATGAAGGCACGGTTTACGGGTTTAGGGCTTAGGGGGCTGTAAACCCCAAGCCCGCAGCACCAACACCGCCCTAAGCAACAGCTCTCAGCTCCTGACGAGATCACCGGCAGCCAGGGGATACTCTTGGCCACCGCAGCTGGGCATCAAGCGCAATGTCAGGATGTAAATGCAATGTTGCAGCTGTAAAGTGAACACTTGAGCAGTGTTTTTTTTGGTGGTTCGGGCTGGCCTTTTCTGTATTTACTAGCGATAACCCCACACGCAACGATCAGAATGGCCTTTATAACGAGCTAAGCGGCTAGGAAATCCATACTGTTTGTTATGATTTTTTGTCGGCTGGATTCTTCTATATACACCGCTTAAGAGCAGGCTAGAAGAAGGAAGGGCTAGAAGAGGCAAAAGCACGACGATGGGTACGCGCTCCCTACGCTTTGCCTACGCTGTCAGTCCGACAGTTTGGGTGGATTTGGCAACCGGGATACGAGGCTGACTGGTCTGCACACAAATGTTCCGTGTTTACGCAAGCGATACTTGCTACCATCTAGGGGCTTTAGACTTCAGAAGTCCCTACTGCAAGCTCGGATCTTTACGTCCAGGGTTTTGGGAAGTCCCTACTGCAAGCTCGGATCTTTCGGTTCAGTTCTGACTACGCGCGCACGCCTACGCAGCCCTTGCCCTACAAAAACCCTATGCGGGACTACCCCCCCCCAGCTAAAATGGCTACGCAAGCACGTGAATACAAGACCTCCTTACATCGCGTAGACACGACCAAAAAAACGCTACTCACTTGTGTGTTTGGGTATCCCCAACCTAGGTTCATGCTGCAGGCTTCAAGCCAGGGACCCCACCAAACCCTAAACCATAAACCCCTAAACCCTGAACCCTAACACTACACCCTAAACCCTAAACCCTGAACCCTAACACTACACCCTAAACCCTAAACCCTGAACCCTAACACTAAACCCAAACCCAAACCCTAAACCCGGAACCCTAAACCCTAACACCAAACCCTAAACCCTAAAGCCTAACACCAAACCCTAAGCCGTTGCCTAAACCCTGAACCCTAAACCCAAACACTGAACCCTAAACCCTAACACCAAACCCTAAACCCTTACAGAATCCCTATAGATCCCTTTAAAGTAACCCTAAAGGAACCCCTTAACCTTTACAGAATCCCTATAGACCCCTTTAAAGGGGCCCTAAAGGAACCTAATGAACCATAGAGCAGACTTCGAAGCTGCCTCACTCCTTTGGTCGGAGAGATGCTCAGGTCCGACTCACCTGGGATTCTGCGAACGACCGTCTACTTATAGAGGATCATGGGACTTAGTAAGTAAGGCTCCTTAAAGGGATCTGTAGGGTTCTTTAAAGGGGTCTATAGGGTTCAGGGTATACTTAGAGGATCATGGGACTTAGCAAGTAGGTTATAATTAGGGTTATAAGTCCCCTAAGTGGGGGGTTATCCTGTTTATAACCTACTTATATCCTTACTTACTAAGTCCCATGATCCTCTAAGTAGGGCTCTTATAAGGAATCTTATTGGTTTCATGAAGGGCTCTAGTAAGGCATCTTTAGGGTTGCTTAGGGATCTTACAAGGGATCTTGTAACTAGGGCAGGGTTGTTTAGGGTTCTTGCAAGGGTTCAGGGTTTAATGTTGGGGGGCTTATAAAGGATCTTATGGGTTGCATAAAGGGCTCTAGTAAAGTGTCTCTACGGTTTCTAAGGGATCCAAAAGGAGCTCTTGTAAAAGATCTTATAATTCGCGTTTTATAGGGTTCGTGGAAGGGCTCTTTTTGGCTTTACAGTGCTCTTATCGGGGATCTCAAAGTGGTTTACAGGGTCACGTAGGGCTACGATTTCGGGTATTTGGCACATATACATTACGACTACATGTCTGCAGTGCGTTGCGACGAAGATACACATAAAGACTCAAAACTCAAAACGTTCGGGAGCCTTCCCTCTGTGGTCTACCTACCCTAATTGCCCTCGTTTAGTGTAGCTCGTTCTTGAGTTAGGATCTCTTATATAGAAAAGGGGGTAGGGTATGAGCCTCCAGGTAAGGTTCGAAACTGAAGAAGTCGATAACACTTTTGACAGCCCTAAATCATGGGCACGGCCCCCACTCAGCAATATTTGAAGAATATTCATACTATAGATATATTATAGGACCTTCATAGTAGCCCTATGATAGACTCTTACTGTATGGGAGCAGTACCTAACCTAAATCCAAAACACAAAGGCCTGAAGCCTCCCAAAACCGAGGTCCTAAACCCCAAAACCCATTAACCCAACGCCCTAAACCCCGAGCACAGTAGAAGCCCCAACTGAAACCACTAAATCCCCAAACTGAGGTAGGTCGGAAAGGTCCTCAGATGAGAGCTTTTGGGCAAGTCGCGATGTCGAAGCGTACCTGTCCAATCGAACGACCTGGGACAGAACAGGGCTTTATGGGGCTATGATCAGGGATCTTATATTATAAGTTTATAAGGCTTCCAAAATTTTCTCAGGGGTCTATGGCGGTTTAGCTTTAGCATCTCTATATTTTTGAACAGAGTCTTGCGACATATCTCTGCTAAGAGCAAAATACACCGCGTTCGACGGGAGTGATAACGTCCCCATGGCTGTGGGGCGGGCGGGCTGACGTGGTTGAGGGTTTAGGGTGGTGTAAGCTTTAGGGTTTATTTTTCTGAATTAAGTTTTAGGGCTTATTTTTCTGAATTAAGTTTTAGGGTTTATTTTTCTGAATGGTACGTTTTGGGTTGAGGATGGTTTAGGGGTTTAGGATTCAGGGATTGTGGATGTCCTCAGCTTTCGGCCAGTTGGAAGAGAAAGGCCCAGACGTTGCCCACCTCGGTACTTCTAGGGCGTGAGACTGTAATAGGGCCGCATAGGGGCCTTAATGATGAGAATAGGGTATAAAGTTGACAATTTTGGGGTCTTTAACAGCGAGTAAAGGTCTGGGTGTTCTGAAACACAACACCGAGTTAAACCGTCTGCGTTCGTTCAGTGTGTGAAGCCTAAAAGCTGTGATGAAGGTTGCATTCGGTGACCACCACTCCGAAGGGGCAAGCTAGAACCTCTCAGACTTTATTTCTGGGCCGGCGTGTGCTGCTTTGGGACATCAGTTAAAGCTACCATAATAGGGACCTAGAGTAAAGAATTGGGCTTCATTCTTATGGTACGGTAACTTAACTTATAATCCTTGACAAGAACTTAAGTCACCACAATCGGGACCTATAGTAAATAGCACTATCCTTGTGTTGGTAACTTAGACGAAGTTCCTTAACCAGAACACAGACTAAACCCTAAACCCTATAACCCATGGTAGCTTCTTCTGGGACATAGTCAGAGAGATGGTGAGGGCATCCAGCCCCGGGATCGCATTAAGCGCCGGAGTCTCTTCGCATGTGTTTAGGGTTTAGGTTGTACCTTAACCCAAGTAAAAACCGACCTTCTTAGGGCTCCTTATTATGATCTCCGTGTAGAAGTCCTGTAAAAGGTAGGTTTGCTAGCTTGCAGACGGTGGATTCATAACTGGTCAAATCTCGCGGCTCTCCCTTGAAACCGATGCTTGAGAGTCGGACTCCTCTTCATTGTCCAGTTCCAGTGATGCCGCAGCACCTTGGGTTTAGGGTTTACCTGCAGCGCCCAACTACCCTCGAAGAGACCCTCGAAGAGACCCTAAATACCTAAATACTCATTAAGGACCATAAGGGTCCAACAAAAAGGCTTTTGAAACCCTACACCCCTAAACCCAGGGCACTTGGGGGGTCCTGGTAGGCTTTAGGGTTTGCGAAAAGGCTTGTCTTTGCAAAGCAGCCAGACCGATGGCTCTGACTCTATGTAGTATATACTTAGGTCTTAAATGGGCTCCTATATACTATGCTGAACTTAGAACCCCAGCAACAATTAATATTTTAGCTGTTTCTTGTAGGGATTATAATAACCAAAAATGAAAATTATTTCTAAGTACCCCTAAGTATAGGTACTTTCAGGTCTATGTATACAGCATATGGGTACATGGAGCCTTTGGGCTGGTTGCAAACTGGCCAACCGAAAGTGAGAGTTCAATCTCTGGTGCTCTGCATGCGAAACTCGTTCCCAAACTCGTCTACACTCGACCAATCAAGACTCCAAACACACCCCCGCCCGTATCAAAAACCGCTACTTCAAAACCGAAAACCACAAAAACTCAACCACTAACCCTAAATACTCAAGCCTCAAGCTCGAAACCCGACGCCTAAATCCTTCAAAAACCAAACCCAAGTCCTGAGCCAATGGATGCTTTACAGCGGTTCACTGGTTAGTCCACCTTTTGGATATGATCTAATATAGTGGCCTCAATAATTAGAATAGGGTTCCTTTTAAAGGGTTTCTTAAAAGGGTTCTATAATCAAAGATAGGGGCATTGAAATTTTGGAATAGGGTTTTGAGGCCCATTATACTACAATTAAAACAAGGAGCCCCCAAAAGAGCAAACCTAGTATAGGTAAATATTCAGGCCCCTATATTAAGCTGACCTGTCTATGGGCCTTCGATGCACCTATGCTTCTGCATGGCACGGCTCGTCTTGCAATACTTGTCTGGACTGTCCGCCCTCCCAATCGCCACGACACCCTTCGAAAACGACCGTGTAAGAACTTTTGGTCGCAGTCTTACAAAGTAGACGAAACATAGGTCAATGAATGTATATTTGTGTATGTCACTGCCCAAAGAGTGCTAAAATACACGTGTAGAACACCCACGGAACCCCATAAAGCAACTTTTATCAAGGCTAGCACCCGATCAGCACCCCGCAAACTAAAACCACATCAACATCTTGTAATACCTACAAAGCAAGTTATAAGCCACCGTTGCAGACAAAACAACATTAACTGCCCAGCCTAAACCTTACAGTAGAAGCCAGAAAGTTGGAATATCATTATCATAATCCCTTTAAGGTAAAATATAGGGGATCCTGCCATTATTCCATATTCCAACTTTCTGGAGTTCCCTTTAAAACCTAAGAAGACCCTTGAACCTGAGGGCCGCGCACTGGCGAGCTCCTGGGGCGGCTGGTGCCTCGTTGTGTTAGGGGTGGTCTTTCGGGTTTTTGAAGCTTCTCGTGTTTATAGCGTTTTGAAGGTGTATTCTGAGGTCTTTAAAATAACTTTGATGGACTTTAGAGGGATTCAAGGCTTCGCTATTCTACCAAGATTCCGGATGCTTGAGGGACAGAGGACGCTTAAACCTGTGATCGCAAATTGCAATGACCTACACCCTAAACGCCTAAACCCTAAACTCTGCAACATTGACTCGTTCGGTGAAGAATTCGTTAATATAGGGGCCTTAGTAATTAGAATAGGGTTTCGGGGCCCATTATACTGTAATTACAATAGGGAACCCCAAAATCGTATTGGACATTATTTACGCCCCTATGTTATTCCCCACCCTGAACGCCAAAATCCAAGAGAAAGCGTGCCTCCGTTGCAGCACGAGGGCCTGGAGAGTGCGTCGACGGATAGGTTGGGGACCCTGAAGGATGTCTTGGGGGCTTAGGGGTCGAGGGTTTAGGATATGGGGGTTTCCGAAATTAGGGGCACCTTGAATTGGGGTCCTTATAATAAGGATCCTAGTATTTAGGGTACCATATTAGGGTCCCCTATTTTCGGAAACTCCCATAAAGGGTTAAGGGTTCGGGGTTTCAGGTTCAGCGTGGTTTAGGGAGGGGCTATCTTTGCACTCTAGGACCGTAGGTCCACAGCACAGAAGACAACTTAGTAGTGCTTCTACGAGTGACATCAACAGCACTGCGGGCATGCGGAGCATGTTGCTGACGAACAAGAAGAACTTTTGTGCTGCAGATACTCAGGAAAGAGAAATCGTGCTATCGCTTTCGGGCTCTGGGGCATTATTTCTGACTGTCTACATACACCAACGCGCGTTAGGCTCCGCCTTTTTGCCCTTTTGTCTCCGTGAAAGCTGAGCACTTGTCGAGGAGTGCTGCGAGACCTCAAACCAACTGCCTGGCTTCTACAACAGGGGCCTAAATAATTACCAGTATACTATTTTGAAGGGCTCCATACTATACTTTTTGTATACTGTGATGAACCCCACAACCCTGTTCCAACTATTAAGGCCCCTGTATTACAAGGGCATTCTGGTGAGGCCTCCGTGGGCCTTGCCGTCTCTTGCAACCGCAGTTGCACAGGACGGCTGCCATGGTCCAAGACTAAGAACAGAGTCGTGAAGTTCAAGGCCATGGCCGCAGTAAAGGATATGACAAAGGCTATGCCGTCAGATACCCCCTGGCCTTGATTCTCCTCATACCTCAAGACGAATATGCAAGACCACAAGAGCCATCCCATGGCCAAGTAGGAAAGGAGATGTGGGGAAGTCCAGGAGCCCGCCAGCGAGCCCTTAACAGCCCGGGGCCAGCCCCAGTCAAAGAAGCTCAGAACGTCATACTCCAGCAGCGGTGACAAAACTTGCTCGCGGTGGGCGGTCGACGCAGCTACCAGACTGTCACGGTAGCCACGGATTGTCAGATCGTAGACACCACCCCTTTCCAGCAACATGCGGACAATCTGCACACGCCCAGCCCGGGTGGCGGCTTGCAGAGCACAGTCCCTATCACCACCCGCCTCCAACAGCAAGGAGACCACGTCCCGGTGGCCAGCCCTTGAAGCAGCAGCAAGAGCCACTTGCTCGCCGGCGTCGGACACATCGTGCGCCCCAGCCGCCAGCAACATCCGGACAATCTGCACACGCCCAGCCCGGGTGGCGGCTTGCAGAGCGCAGTCCCTATCACCACCCGCCTCCAACAGCAAGGAGACCACCTCCCGGTGGCCAGCCCTTGAAGCAGCAGCAAGAGCCACTTGCTCGCCGGCGTCGGACACATCGTGCGCCCCAGCCTGCAGCAACAAGCGTACCATCCTTGTGTGGCCTTCCTTGGCGGCAGCCTGGAGGGGTGTGAGGCGCTCGCTGAGGTAGTGCGCGGCCGTGTTCGGATCGTGCCGCTGTTGCAACATGTCCACCACCAAGTAGTCAGAGTCCCAATACACTGATCTTATGAACATATTTGCGTCCTCCTCGGACGTGTTGATAAACGGAAGCACCACCAGCTGCACATCCGTAATCGAGGCAAGCCGGGTATCGTCATCCAAGATCCGATGTCCGTGCACGATTCGCTGCCGAAACCGTGGGACCCCAAGGAGCAACTGCAAATACTGCTTCAGATGATGCACACGATTCGCGTTTGAGATGGCAAGGCTAGCTGCTTCCTCCCCAGAGGGCCTCCAAACACGCAGTTTCTTCCCACTCTCTGGGGGCATGGCGGCACACTTATCGAAACAGACACTACCCAGGCCTATGAAGTTCGAAACATACGCCTGAAGCACAGAGCGCAGCGGGCGTATCGACGACCCTGTTCGGAGTTTAAGCTCAAGCCAACGTGGATCGAGTATTCAGACCCCTGCGGCAGAAACTCCGGATCATGCAACTCACAAACCGTCAGCGATGAACCCTGAAACCTTAGCCCTAAACCCTGAACCCCAAACCCTAAAGCCCCAATATACCATTATATCATCGTATATTACAGTACATAATAGTATAGAGTAAGATGGACGCGAATGGCGACCATTGAAAAGCTTGTGGTGTCGACATGGGTTTTGCGAATTTGAATTGAAAGGACTCTTCACAGGCTTGAGGACCTGCCACCATCCGAGATCGGCTCCGCACTGAGGCCCTTCCTTGATGGAGCAACTTCACGCCACGTCTCCATCATGTAGGTGCTGCCGCAACGTAACACCACGAGTCCGAAAACCGGTTGTAGAATGCGCGGTCGCCAAACATGTCGCTCTGTCCATCCGATTATCGTCCTCATAAGGTCGTGTTGCTTGCGTCAGCGATCGCATCAGCAAGGCCATCACATCCATTCCAAGCTTGGGTTCTTTAGATCAGGGTTCCTTTTAGGCTTGTTTCTATGAGAGTGCCGTGCTAAGAGAAACCCAAATCAGGACCCTAATTTGGAGAACTACCCACCTGAGTTTCCAACCAACCTGCCATCTTTTGAACCCTTCCCTGCGAATCTTTTCGCTTCTTGGAGAGACAGGAGCTGCATGCAGTCGTCGCTGAGCAGCTCCTTGGCATCAGGGAAGCGAGATACGACTGCTCGCAAAAACTATAGAATTCTTAGCAATCGTACTATTCTTTTCGGTTCCGTTTCCTTAAGATAGCCATGTAGTACTATATACCCCGGTCTAGTTTCTGGATCCTCCAATGCAGGGGTCTGGGTAACCCCCAAATCTAGAGGGGTTCGTGCGCGGAAAACCAAAGCTTCAAACGAGACAACCGGACAGTTCGAAAGCCCAACCGCCATTCCGGCCTTGCTCATCAGAAAAAGCATTCTTGGGATACTATACGACAATGAAGGATCTCAGGAAAAAACACTGGTAATTCTGTGGCTGCAGCACTGAATTCCCCTTCCAATCCATGTAGCGCCATCAGGCCCACACTCCAGCAGTTTCTCTCAGACTCATCCAGACAATTCCCAAGAGAGCTCAAAAAAGAGGCAACACTAAGCCGACAAAGCCCTAAGCTCAAAGGGTAAAAGGAGGGACCCCTAATAAGGACCCTTAGGTATATACCCATAATATAGCTATCAGCTATTATATACCCATTATATAGCCCATTATAGGGTTGAGGTCCCCATTAAGGGTCCCTCCTTTTCCCCTTTGATAAGCAGATCTTGAACCCTAAACCCCTAAACCCAGCAGACCATGCGATGAGGTCTACATCCGCGAAAGTCAGAAGGGCCAGCAGGGTCACTTTTGGGGCCAGGGTTTTGGGGCCCATTCTACTAGAATGATAATAAGGAGCCCCCAAAATAGTGTTGGTAATTATGAAGACCCCTGCAGGACCTCGACGTGCAACGAACGAGGCTGCAGGCAGGTAACCGACCACAGCAACGGCGACAGCTGCACGGACAAATGGAGCCTTGGCCGCAGACGTTTGAAACTGTATTAGAAACCAGAAAAAAGCCCCAAACCGAAGACCCGAAACCCGAAAGCCGAAACCCAAATTTACCAAATGAAACCTAAGCCCGAAACTGAAGCTCTAAACTAAACCCTAAACCCTAATACAGGGGCCTTTATGATTAGAGTGGGGTTGTGGGGTTATATTAGAGAGCCCGGAAAATAGTAGTGGCAGGGTGTTTGTTTAGGCCCCAATATTAATACCCCCACCCCCCTACATAGAATCAATGCCAAGGGTCGCCAAGGCCAGCAGATGTCGTGCAGCAAGCTGCGGGAAAGTCTGGGCCGACGGCACATGGGCTTCGCGGTGTAGGATTTAGGGTTTAGGGGTCTCGGTTTTAGGGTAATATCTCGCCACAGTATCTTTCGGACTGCAAAAACGATCCGGGGATGCCTGCTGTCCTCCTTGGTAAGGAGAGAGATCACCCAAAACTTTAGACTTTTTTTCTCGGCCTTCTTGCTGTGCCCCGATTTGGGTCGTATGCTGGAACCTCGAAGAATTCCACTCCGAGCCACGGAACATTCTACAAACCCTTTGGAATCTCTAGCGGGTTTAGGGATTACCTGGACCCCAAAAGTATGAGAATAATAGCCTTTTATGGGCTTTGGGCCGTTATTTTTTACTACTTTTGGGGGTTTAGGGATTAGGGGACTCGCTTGAAGACTTCACATCTGTCTGCCTTCACCCTATGAAGCTGACTGGCAGCCAAGGTCAGGGAAACACGATGTAAGCACTAACAGAAGGGCCTGAAAAATTGGAGTAGAGTTTTGGTGCATGGCATAGTATACTGAGCACCTTCCTTTAGTTTTAAGGAGCCCCAAACTAGTGTTGGTAGTTCGGGCGCGTAAATTAGTCGCAGCCCAGGCTGCCATTTTGGAGGCTCACGTTCGTGATATCCGTGATTGGCGAATGCCGTGTTCGTCGGACCCCTTTGGGTGCTCGTGGAATTCCACGGGGCTGGCTGCCGTAAACCCTGACATATGTCCTAAAGCTACAACTTACAACCCCAAAACAGCAAATCCTAAAAACAAACACCCTAAAAACCTTGTAAAGCTCGGGTACACACTCTCCCCCCCACCCGGTAACGTCTATATTTAGGTATTGTCCAACTGTTACTGGAGTGGGCCAGTACCAACCTAAAGCCTCAACGCATAGCCTTCATCGTACACCCTACCCAAAGGGTCTTCAAGCCAGGGTGCCTGGTCTCCGTGGACGATGATCAGGTGGTTGCCTTAGGAAGTACACTCGAGGGGCCTTAATGATTAGATTATATGGGTGGTTGCGCGGTTGCCTTTGGAAGTATAGAGGGGCCTTAACAGTTAGACTGGGGTGTTGGGGTACACTATATAGGGGCCTTACTAGACAGAATAGGGTTTTGGGGTATATCATACCATAATTATAATAAGGATCCCGCGAACTAGTATTGCAAAATATTTAGGCCCTGTAGTATATACCCTGATGATGACACACTGCGAGCTGACCTCCTGCATTCCACGACCTTGAACGCTGTAGACTTCAATGCATCAGCCTACTAGTGAGCATCTTCTCTCGAGATATGGGGATTCAGAAATTCAGGACGTAGGCAAGTGAGACCTACACCTTTCCTTGCGGAAGCTCGGGGGTTGATCCGACCTAAACCCGGAATTGCTGTATGCCTTGCGGCCCAGCAGCGTTTGCTGAAGTCCTTGATCGGGAGTGCCAGGCACTTCCACTGGAAGTTTCGGTCTCAGTCGGCACATGTCTGGCCGAGAAAGAGCTTTACTAGGGGAGGGGCCCAAATAAATGTTTATGGCACCCTACACCCTAAAACCTGTTCAAATGATCGAGGCACCTCTATCAGAACACCAACAGACCACGAGAAGGCTTCACTGTTCACCACACTTCGAGCCATGCTGCCGTGAAGTCGACTGCGCAGATGGCGTGTGAGGAAGTACTCCTCGTCCTTGGCAGGGCAGCAGAGCCTAAACCCGAAACCCTAAACCCAGAATGAAGTTTAAGGCTGCTTGGCGCTTCAAGGCTAGGGTGTGTGAAGAAGTGGGGACAACTGACAACAGTGTCACCTCATAATCATAGTCCCTATATGTAATTATTATACCCTCCTTAGAACCATAATAAAAATACCATTGTTAATATGCTCTTGGGTTTTATATGAACAAAAAACAAAATAATTCCAAGGAAGCTATAGATTATACTTGTCGACGACAGTACATTTAACCATTATAAGGCCTCTGATGGCCGACTGGGAAGATGGACAGCTCCCGTCTGCAGACTCCCGGGGTCCCGGCACGCGCTCTGGGCACAGTGAGACCGCCCAGCGAAGCCCGGCGCAATGGCAGCAGCGGCATTGCTGGTTCGCAAAGGTTGGGGCCTGACGAAACGCTATAAGCGCTAAACAGCTAAACTCAAACCCTAGACCCAGCAGATGCAGGAGGTGTCGCAGTTCTGCGACATCTTCCGTTTAGGATGTTGGCACGCAAATGTTGGTGCGCATGGATCGCTCTGCTGCTTCTGGGGCCCTCTTTAAGTTCAATCGCAAAACTCGGGCAACGCGTAGATGACACGTGTCACGCGTACTCAACAAAGAACCCACGGAAATCCCACGAGGTCCCGGATACTGAAGCGGAGGCTGCGCAGTGACCTGCATCGGGCGAGATGGGCGAGCAAAGCGGCTGGAGATCGCCATCAGTGGCATTCCTAGGACATGGGTGGTTGTCAAAATTAGGGTCCCTTTTGGGGGTACCCTAAATATTAGGTGCCGTACTGTCATAGTTACCCAAAAAGGGACCATGATTTTGATAACCACCCGCATGGTTTCCCCAGGAGAACACGACAAAGCAAGCCCGGGGTTCTACCAACAGAATCGAATCTAGATGCAGGTCCCCTACGCACTTTAAGCCCCAAACCCCCAGTTCCGCATTCCAGGCTAGAGATGCACAATAGACTTCGTCGCGGCCATGGCCTCTGGTACGGCAGGGTTCATGGTATTTTTGACAATTTGTTCTTTAGGGCTTAGGGGGTTTAGGGTGTTAGGGCTTGGAGTCGCATGAAAGTTTTGTCTGCTAAGTGCAGTGGAGATGTCGTTCTCTGGTCAACCTAAGACCTAGACACGAGCTACTACTGTAGAAGCCTTAATAAATAGAATAGGGTCTGGTGGTATATTACACTATAACTATCATGAGGAACTCCCAAAACCCTATTCTATTTAAGAAGGCCCCTACATTACCCGGCTCAAGGCTTTTCTGCTGAGTCTCCCCACCCAGTCCTTCGCTGCGATCTCTTCCGGCCACACGGCACGAGCTGCGAAGACATGCAGCAGCGCACAGAAGCCTCACAGTCCGAGTACCTAATAGTCATATACTCTCCTAAATGGGAGTTTCCGAAAACAGGGGTACCTTATGTAGGGGTCCTTATAATAAGGATCCTACTATTTTAGGGTCCCGTATTTTCGGAAACCCCCAAATATTGAGCTACATAACTAGTATCCTCAACCCAAGTACCTAGTTGTTGGGCCCTTTGGGCCCTTTGGACCCTTAGGGGAAGCCTCAGACCAGGCCGTCGGGCGCTTGAATCAGCCCTTCCTTCGAAACGAAATGAACTCTACAAGGGTCTAGGGCTCATATACCATATGTGGATGCAACCACCAGGGGTAGATCCTTGCCCGTGATTTCGGAGATTAGCCCCTTCGTTGAGAGTCCCAGCTGAGTTCCTTCCATACTATAAAGGGTAGACCCTAGACCTTAAATCGGTAGAGGGCCCTGATTTTTCAATTTCATTTTGTCCTTAAGATTCTCATACAACAGCCAGGAAGCATGCACACAAACCTGCCAGCTTCCTCTTCCTACGACATTCCCGATGAGCTGGGTTTGAGGGTTTGGAGTTCAGGGGTTTGGAGGCTTGGGGGTTTAGGGTTTAGGGCTTAGGGTGAGCTGGGACAGCCAAACTGACGACAAGCAAAGTCAAGAAGCATACTTCTCAGCGCTGCTTTAAGCCCGTAGTATGGCCTTATGAAACGCTCACTATGGCCATAGGGCGAGAAGCCTGCCTGCTTTTGGAAGTTCCCACATGATCCCAACCCTAAACTCTAAACCTTAACCCCTAGAGCCCTAAACCCTCAAACCCACTGCCCCTAAACCCTAAAACTATGTACAGGAATTGCCCTGTTGGCAAGATCGAAGGATTTAGGGCTGCAGTTGAGGCTGCAAGAGTCTAGGGCTCAAGGTTTATATTCAGCTTCAGGTCCCGAAACCAGACGATGTGCTACCCAGAGAGCCCAATACCCCTTATTCAAGAAATATAGCTTAAATCATAATATGAACCCCCTTATAGTTTAGGGTATATTTTGCTTAATTAAGGGGTATTGTGCTCGCTGGGTACTTAAGTCGCGGCGCCATCGTAATCTCGGCGCTTGTAAAGCCTCAGTCGGCGAGGTTTAGGGCTTAGGGTTTGGGGTTTGGGTTTTTTTTTATGCAGGATCTCAGCTTGTGCTGATCAACATATCCAATGCCTAGGGCCGCAAATTACCTCAAGAAACTCGGTTTACATCCTCACCCCTTCACCCCAACAATGTAGGGGCCTTAATAACTAGAATGGTGTTTTGAATACTTTTCACCAAAAAGATAATAAGGAACACCAAAATAGTACTGTATAGGTAATTCTTGAGGCCCCTATATTACACATCCAAGGCTCGGGTAGAGCTCGGGCAGAAGCGTGTCTTCGCGCTCGCAGGGGGCCAGGCACTCCAGATAGTAATTGGCGAGGGTGATCCTCGGGGGCTTTAGTAACGGTCTAGGGTTTAGGGTTTAGGGGTTGATGGGTTTTGGGTTTAGGGCTTAAGGCACAGTAAACACCATCAGATAATCACTGGCGAGGGTGATCCTAGGCCAATAAACACCATGCTTCGTTTGTAAATAACGTGTCAGAGTCAGAGCCCTCCGAGATAACCATATTAACACCCTGCAAAACCCTCTAGAGCCCTGAACTCCAAATAAACACCGTGGGGTTCGGTCAACTTATGGTAGAAGCCAGAAAGTTGGAACATGAGTATCCTCATGCTCCTAAAGTAAAGTATAAGGGATCCTAGCACTAATCCTCCTAAACCCATGTTCCAACTTTCTGGCTTGTGCTGTAACCAGTGTTTCAGCTGCTCTCAAGATTCCGGGCTAATAATTGTACCAAGCCCTACCCAGAGAGCCCAATACCCCTTAATCAAGGAATATAGCTTAAATCATTATATGAAGCCCCTTCTGTATATTGCTTAATTAAAGGGGGTATTGGGCTCTCTGGGTACCTGGACCTTCAGTAACTTACCTTTTGTATGGACTTGTGTAAGGAAGTCATAACAAGGGGCCCCCAAAAAGGTAGGGTCTTTCGGGTCCCAGGTAAATCCTAAACCCTCAACCCACTCGGACTCATGCTGGGTCTTCCTAGGGATGAGAGCTGCCTAAAGTTTAGGGTCTCGGGCTCAGGATTTAGGGGTTAGGGATCAGGGTTTTGTTGAGATCCTTTTCGGGCTCGCATGCTTCCGAGCATCTGTCCCGAAGCCTATAGACCTTAATGATTAGAATAGGATTCCTTTAAAGGGTGCCTTTAAAGGGGTTACTTAATACAATTAGAACAGGGTTGTGGGGCCCAGTATATTATGATTATATTAAGGAGCCTAGGGTAGGTAGTTACTAAGGCCCCTATAGTAAATTTCAAGTAACCGCACAAGTGCAAAAGCAGAAAAACTGCCATGGGGCTGATGATGAGAACAGTGCTTAACGACGATGATGGCGGTGGCGGTTCAGATGCTAATATACAATACATACTATAATGGAATATATAATATAATCAATATAGTATACGAAATGGCAATAGTAATACAGTAATACGGCGATGAGAGGGAAAGAAACAAGACCGTATGGCTGGATTGGTGGTGATCTACAGCTACAGGCTATGCTGTTTGCATGTGTTGTTTATGGCCTTCCTTCTGGCTTGATCCACCGTGTTACTGTGTCCAATCTGGGTTGCACTTCCGGGCATGAGCACTATTTTGTCGAACAGCGCTGTTGCGCCTGATAGACTTTGTGCATCTGCAGCCTCAAACCCAAGGTCGTGGTTCTCCATGAACTCTCTGATACGATATGTGTGGGGCCCGGGCCAAACGCCTCCTGCAACCGCGGCAGTTGCGCAAGACCTTCCGAAGTGCCATGACCCACGACACCAGCAGCGAACACATAATCTTGAATGGGATGACAATGACGATGAACCACAATACACCAAACACGACGAAGGCTGCCGCCTCCCCCTGGTCCTGCATGGAGACGGCACGGCACCAGCCGCCGAAAAAGTACAAGACGCAACACGAAAACCAGAGGACTCCGAAAACCTGGGCTTTGAAGTAACCAGCGAGAAAAAGTACAGATTTTTTTCATAATGGGCTCCCTTTAAGTAACAGGTACCAAAGTATCAAAGTATGGTACTCCAAAGCCCGGGAACGCTATCGTAAAAGGCTTTGCATCCGGCCACCAGCCCGCCCAGGACTGCCCTTGGCCAGCCCCAATCAAAGAAGCCCAGCCCATCGGCCTCCAGCAGCAATAACCTGGGTTCTTGTCCTCTTGCCCTACCATGTGGCTGATCATTACCTGTAATCATAAGGAGGGGGGCGATTAGGGGTGGTAGGGGGAGGGGGGGGCGGGGGGCGTGCTAAATACGCAATAACCTGGGTTCTTGTTTATATCATGGATTTAATTTAGGTTATTCTAATAAGGAAAGCAATATAAGTTACTATAATAGGGAAACCTATATAAGCTACTCTAATAAGGAAACCACATTATTTACTACAGATCCCCACTATGGTAGCTTAAACTAAACTCCTTAACAAGGACCCAGTAACAGGATACGCAGATTGAGGGTGGCCGATGCAGCTACCAGACTTTCACGATAGCCGCGAGTTGTTAGTTCGTAGGCACCAGGCCTTTCCAACAACATACGGACAGTCAACATCTGGTCGGACCAAGAAGCTGCTTGCAGGGCACAGTCCCTATCACCACCCGCCTCCAACAGCAAAGAGACCACCTCCTGGTGGCCAGCCCTTGAAGCAGCAGCAAGAGCCACTTGCTCGCCGGCGTCGGACACATCGTGCGCCCCAGCCTCCAGCAACAAGCTCACCATCCTTGTGTGGCCTTCCTTGGCGGCAGCCTGGAGGGGTGTGAGGTGCTCGTTGAGGTAGTGCGCGGCTGTATTCGGATCGTGCTGCCGTTGCAACATGTCCACCACCAAGAAATGGGAGTTCGCACGCACTGCCGCTAAGAAGTTGTCGGCAACCTCTTCAGAAGTGCTGAGAAAAGGAAGCACCACCAGCTGCACATCCGTCATCGAGGCAAGCTGGGCATCATCATCATCCAAGATCACGTTTCCATGCACGATTCGCTGCAGGAACCGTGAGACCCCAAGTAGCATGTGCAAATGCTGCTTCAGTTGCTGCACACAGCTCACTTTTGAGATGGGAACGCTAGCTGCTTCCTCCCCAGAGGGCTTCCAAACGTGCAGAATGTTGCAAGATTCCGCTGCGGCACTCATCGCACCATAAGTCAAAGCCGAGGAAAACACAACGTAGGGCCTTGATAAATGGAACAGGGTTTGGGCATCTTTATAGAAGACACATACTAAGGAACCCTGAGGAACAATAATCCTCGTTGTCCAGGCCTCGGATGCTATGACAGCAATCGGGGATAGACCACGATGGCTGCATCGAAACAAAACTGCACCGCTTTCAGTTAAGGGTCGAGGGTTTAAACCCGCAGCCCTAAAAACTAAACCCTAAGCCCTAACCCCTAATCCCGAAACCGTAGCTGCTGGGCTGAAGGTCCTTACGCTTCGACACTTCGAGTTAAACACCGCTGCTCAATGGGATGTGGGTAGTTCCCCACATTAGGGTCCCTTCTCGTGTCGCGTTTATAAGGGTTCCGTACTGCGTCGGGGACCTAAAAGGGACCCTAACTTAGAGAACTACCTGTGTGATGCCAGGACTTTCCTTTGCTTTTGGAACCCAGCAGAGCCTGTTCAATGGAATCTAATCTAGGGGCCTAAATGATTACCTGTACTATCTTGCAAGTTCCTTATCATAATCATAGTATAGCGGGCCCCAGCACCCTATTCTAATTATTAAGGCCCCTATATTAGGCGCCTTCATGTTTGGGGTTGAGGGTTAGGGTTTATTTAGGGTTTAGGGTTCAGGCGCCTTAATGTTTAGAATGTGTGTTTTTGAGGGGGGGTATACTAAACTGTCATTCAATACGACAAAGAGCCTGAGGAATGTCTTCAGGCCCCAACAGTACTCTAAAGCCCTAAACCCTATATCATCAACCCAAGCAAAAATTCATGTCGTGGGCCGCCCAACCCATGCCCACCCGCAGGTGTCATGCCAAGCATTCTCAAAACCCTATTATACACTCAGTCCCAAAAAAATGAACCAAAGCAACTCTGAATCTTAAACCCTAAACTCTTGCAAAAAAACCCTGAATCCTAAACCCCAAACTCCTATAGAAAATCCTGAATCCTAAACCCTAAACTCTTATAACAAATCCTGAGTCCTAAATCCTAACCTCTTAGACTCTTATACCAAATCCTGAATCCTCGATCCAGGCCAGGCGGCGAATATCTGAGGCCACAGCGCCAGAGCCCCAAACGTCTCCGGAGGATGGGTCGGTGCCCCGCCCGGGAGAACCTGACTTAGCAAGTAAGGTTCCTTAAAGGGTTTCCCTTTCAGTAAGCCCCATAAAGTTGGAAACCAGATTAAGGCCAAATAGTGCTGGGATTCCCTATACATTACTCTTAAGGACTTAGGCTATTGGGTTTCCAACTTTTGGGCTTCTACTGTACTCAATAAGGGCTCCTTAAAGCGATCTACAGGGTTTAGGGTTTAGGGTCTACTTGGAGGATCATTGGACTTAGTAAGTAAGGATATAAGCACCTTAGTTGGTGTTATAATTAGTTATAATAACTTTGGTAACCGTATTTATATCCCTAGTTGCTCAATCCCATGATCCCCTAAGTAGAGGGGGCTTGATGTTTGGAATAGACTTACAGGGGTTTGAATATTCTACAGTGTTAATATAATATTTCATACTGTGCGCATGTTGTATCATAAGATATTGCATCATGAACGCCCTCCTCGAGGCTCAAATGTTCGGATCGCTAGCCTATCATAATCTTTCTTGAGGAAGAGAGGTTTGTCAATCAGGGGTCAACATGCGGTTTTGTGGGTATTTCGAGGGATTAGAGGTCTACCGACCGTGAAGCCTCATAGGAAGCTTACATGCCCAAACCCTATTTGGAGGATCATGGGACCTAGTAAGGAAGGATATAAGTACCTTAATAGGAGCTATAAGTACTCAAAACCATAGTAACCTGATTTACTACCCTAGTTACTTTAAGTCCCATGATCCTCTAAGTCTAAGTCAGCCCTGAACTGTCGAACCCCTTTGGAACCCTTATAGGCCGCTTCTCCCTATTCTGCCACAGGGTAGACTCCCAAATCGTCCACTGGATTTGTTAGGGGTGGAGGGGGTTTCAAGACTCAGGATTTGAGGGAATGTTCGGGTTTAGGGGGTTTAGGGTGACGTGTACGACGGCCACACTCCGAGCTTGACAACCGGAAGACTAAGAGGCCACAACACCACAGAGACAAGGACAACACCACCAAAGGAGACCCCGGGGCTCCAGGAGTTTGGAGTTTAGGGTATTTCCCCCGGGTAATGGCAGGATTCAGGGAGATTCCGACGAACGGCGAAAATGCTTCCCCCAAGTACCGGCGCGATTCAGGACGACGCCGCAAAACCTTTGCCCCAAGTACTGCTGCCAATGGATCCGGCTCTCGCAGAGACCTTAGCCCTCCGCGTCCTTCGTGCAGCACAGGACACGAGCGCAAAATATACACCGCACCACAGGGACAAATCTTGCACCGCACCACAGCGGTAGCGACGCTGTTGATGCTCACGCGCCACGTGCCGGATGCAATCTGTACAAAAGCTATGAAACATCAAGACAACCCACAAAGCCGCCCTTTCGACCCCACGAGGCCCTAAAGCCAACATCAAAACCACCCTTATCATACAACCCTTGTAGTTAGCCTTGTAGTTACCTTAATAACCCCAGAAAGCCCAAGCCCCATATCAGGGATGTCCTAAAAACCCTTTAAACCTTTAAACCCTAAACATCCCTCGAAACGGGCCCTTCTAGATCCCTAAACCCCTAAACCCTACAGATCCCTTTTAAAGGGCCCTTTTTAGATCCTTTTAACGGAACCCTAAAACCTTGCAAAACCTGAAACCCTTAATCCCAAACCCTAAATCCCTATAAAAGGAACCCAAAACCCTTAAACCCTGAAGTCTGAAAGGCCCAGGGGACAATCCGGGCTGCCAGGTCGCCGCTGTCCAGTTCGCCATGTCAACTCCTGCGACAATCTGGGGCTTGACCCAAAAAGGGACCTTAATATTGACAACCACCCATGTTCTTTCGAGGTTTTTGGTGTAGGGCTATCAGACATAAGCTATCGACTTGTCATTTATGTGGAACCCGAAACCCATCCTACAAGGTCTTTGTCATTGTCACGGTTTACATAGGCTATTGGCCGGGGCCCTAGCATGGATCAGCGAATGTCTGCGGCTGAATCTATGTCGATCTATCTGTTCTCGAACTCTGAGCTCTAAACCCTAAGCCCTAAACCCTTTCACAGAGAAACTCAAACCTTACTGATCTTCGTCGGCACGGCCCACAACTGCGTCGGCAAGGCTCGAAACTTCGTCGGCAAGGCCCGAATCTTCGTCGGCAAGGCCCGAATCTTCGTCGGCAAGGCCCGACTCTTCGTCGGCAAGGCCCGAATCTTCGTTGGCCAGGGCAAGGCCCGAAACTTCGTGGGCAAGGCCCGAATCTTCGCCGGCAAGGCCCGAATTTTCGTTGGCAACGAATCTTCGTCGGCAAGGCCCGAAACTTCGTGGGCCAGGGCAAGAACCGAATCTTCGTCGGCAAGGCCCGAATCTTCCTTGGCAAGGCCCGAAACTTCGTGGGCAAGGCCCGAATCTTCCTCGGCAAGGCCCGAATCTTCGTTGGCAAGGCCCGAATCTTCGTTGGCCCGAAACTTCGTGGGCAAGGCCCGAATCTTGGTCGGCAAGGCCCGAATCTTCGTTGGCAACAAATCTTCGTCGGCAAGGCCCGAATCTTCGTTGGCCAGGGCAAGGCCCGAATCTTCGTCGGCAAGGCAAGGCCCGAATCTTCCTTGGCAAGGCCCGAAACTTCGTGGGCAAGGCCCGAATCTTCGTCGGCAAGGCCCGAATCTTCGTTGGCAAGGCCCGAATCTTCGTTGGCCAGGGCAAGGCCCGAAACTCCGTCGGCAAGGCCCGAATCTTCCTCAGCAAGGCCCGCGTTTCTGCCTCAGGCGCCCTAGGGTTTCGGCCTTAAGGTTTCGGCCAAACCGTGAGGGTTTCGGCCTAACGGTTTCGCCCTTAGGGTTTCGACTTTGGGGTTTCTGCCTGAGGGTTTCAGCCTCAGGGTCCAGCCTTCGGATTTCGGGCTGGAGCTGCAACCCTCCAGAAACTGTTAGACCATCCCCTCCTCCCCACCCTAAAGCCCATGCATACCTTAAAACTCTGAACCCTAAACCCCCCTGAAGCCTACAAAGCCCAACAAAAACACACTGCTAAACCCTAAACCTAAACCCCTAAGGCCTACAAAGCCCTACAACCCCCAAACTCTGAAACCCAAAAGCCTCCACCCTCAGCAGAACCGGCCTTCCAGCTGTGCCCCGAATCGCTTCCTAGGCTCGTTTAGGGCTTCAGTCAGGGTTCAGGGGTTTAGAGCCCCTTTAACGGGATCTATAAGGGGTTCCTAGGCCCCTTTAAAGGGATCGGGTTCCTAGGCCCTTTAGAGGGATTTATAGGGGTTCCTATGATAGGGTACTATAGGGGCCCAAATGGAGGGTTTAGGGGTTCAGGCGGTTTTAGGGGTCTTGGGGGCTTCAGGGATGTAGGGTTTAGGGGACAGGGTTTAAGGTAATGCTTGGGGTTTAGGATTTAAGGTTTAGAGTTTAGGGTCTTCAGCAACCCACTGGGAGAAAGGGCATACTTTGCTGGGTTGGTTCTATTACACTTGGACCCCAGAAAGAAGAAATGCAAATCCCCAAACCCAAAACCCTGCCCCAAGTTTACTGAACCCTAAACCCCAAACCCTAAACTAAACCCTAAACCCTAAACTAAACCTGAACCCCAAACCCCAAACCCTAAACTAAACCCGAAACCCGTACTTCCTAAACGCTCAATCCTAAACTAATCCCTGAACCCCAAACCCTAAACTAAACTCTACACCGTAACCCCCAAACCCTAAAGTAAACCCCAAACCCATAGAGGCTACTAAGGGCCCTTCAGTAAACCTCCGAAGCCCGCGCTAAAACAACGCCGAGTTTCAGCAGCCAAAGATCCCGGCGCTCGGGAAAGGCGCTTGCAGGAAGCAGTAGCTCCTTGGCCGTCCCTTAAAGGTTCAGGGTCTATAGCGTTTAAGGGTGTTTTAGGATTCCTTTAAAGGGATCTATAAGGGTTCCTTTAAGGGATCTCCCTTTATAGTGGCAACAATACTAGTACCAAGAATACCAAAACATACAATGATGAAAACATTGCAGATGGTTGATAATCACCATCATACTCATCATGACCATAATCATCATAACCCTTATCATAGCCATGATCATAATCATGACTGCCATGATAACTATAATGACAATAATACAACAATATTAATAGTCAGTATCATAGTAATAGCGATAACAACATAATGACAATAGTAATCACAAAAATAACAGCAATAGTGGTAGTAATACTGATATTCACATTGGAGAGTGTCTCTTTAAATGTTCAAGCCCCCTACATTTAATAGTACCTACTTTGGAGTCTAGAGTCTCTAAATGGTACCTACTTTGGGATGTTTGGAGTCTGGTGCATAGTTCAGAGACCACCCTCAAGCCCAAACCATGTCAAATCCTCGCCGACACTCACAAGAGAATGTCACAAACAAAACGGGCATTGATGTACACCGTAAACCGTGTTTATAGTAGTATACGAGCAAAGCACCCTTATAATTCTAGTCCGCCCCATGGTCCATGGTGCAATGGCAATTGCTTGTTCCTAAGACCTACGCCCCCATCCTTCACACTGAACCCTTATGGACACCCACCCTGAACCCAAACCCTAAACCTTAGCCGCACTCGCCTAAACACTTGACTCTCGGCGAGGCTCCAGATCCATATCGCCATCCACAATGTCTACGACGCCCCTGCCGAGCCTCCCGTCGAGGGCGCCATAGCCTGGAGCTGCCAGGGCATCTTAGGTCTTTGAGGGCCGACGATATGCAGGGTTTAGGATTGAGTGTACAGCAGGGCCGTCCAGGGTTGAGGGTTGAGGAATATGGGTTTAGGATACAGGGCCTATCTGGGTTTGGGGTTTTCATGGGCATAAGAGCTTGGATCTACGAACGGAGTAGTACCGACGCCTGAAGACTACAGGAGCAAGCAGACGGACACAATGCTTACGCGCTCTGACAGCTGTTTGGCTGTCGCCATGAAATGGGCAGAAAACAATCATCCAAGTCAACTGCCAGATGCACCAATGCACGCAAAAAGTTCACCAAGCGCGAGGCACATTCAGGTGCCACGCCTGTATGACAAGATGTCCGGATGTCACATGATGTGGTCCTGTCCTGATGCAACCTCCAGCCCTAAACCTTAAAACCCTAATTTAGGCCCCAAGCCCTGAAATGCTACTAAACTTCGAACCCCAAGCCGTAAACCCTATAACCCTATAAGCTTTAAACTCCTCTAGGCCAAAGCAGGCAAGAATCGTAACGCGGCGAGGTGCGTGCCCGCTTGAAACAGCTGGCCGAGAAGCCCTGGCAGCCTGCTAAGTCCCATGGGTTTGGGACTTGGGCTTTCTCAGAGAGCTGAATAACCCTTAGAAATAATCCTGAAAGTATAAGGGGCTACATTTTAGGAATAAAGCTCTGTTCCTTAATTAAGGGGTTTTGGGCTCTCTGAGTTGGGGTTTGGGGTTTAGAGCTTGGGGGTTAGGGTTTATAGAGTTTGGGGGGTGGATATATAAGGCTTTAGTGGTTGCAAGGCTATGCGGCTATAAGGTTGGGACTTCCGGTAAATGCGACCTGTACCTGCAATAAAGAGGTCTGACAAGGGTTCCTTTCAGGAAGGTCAGGAGCTCGGAACAACGGCAATAACATTCTACGGTTGATGATATGAATCCTGCATTGCCTTAAGGATCCTAAACTATGGGAGTTGTGGTATATTCCTGATAATGGGTCATGCAGGATTTATATCATCAACCGTAGTCCCTGCATAGCAACATTCCATTTACCCCAGAACCCTCATCTAGCTAGTCGATACTGGGTTCTTGTTCCAGGATTTAATGCAAAGTACCATGATAAGGCAACCAAAATATTTACTATAGACCCCTATTATGGTAACTTGAACCTTAAACCCTATACCCTTACAGGAGCCCTTATAAAAGCCTTAAGGGATCCCCGAAATATCGACCCATTATGATAGGGTTCAGTTTAGGGTTTAGGGTACCTAAGACCGAAGGCCTTAGACCTCAAACTCTAAAACCTGATTCTTAAACCCCAAACCTTGAAACTCTAAACCAGAAGCTCTACAGCTAAAGTCCGGTACACCGGAATCTGAAATCGCAGTCAATGTGTAGCAACACCCAGACCCCAAATGACCTAGCTTTCTAGGGTTCCTTGTCATGACCTCCTTCTTAAGTCCTTACAACGGTAGGTTCGGCAGGGTCCCAGCAGACTTTTGGATTCCATGCCCCAGCACCCGATGTCTGCACTCTACCACCTCTTTCGATACTCCCTGTGGAGGCGGCGATCATGTGAGCCATTCCGATATCCTATATTATAGGGGCCGGAAGAATTACCTGACCTGCATGTTCGTTGGGGCTCCTTGTCAAAATATCATTATTCGTTTGAACGCCCTGACATAGTTAGTTATTAATCTACCCCAAGCCCTTGCACCCAGAAAAAAAGAAGTAGCTGAGAGAAGCCTTTGCATCTCACGCACGACGATGCCGACAGCCCGCTGGCGGAAGTCTAGCAGCGTCTGCCAAGTGGACACAGAAGTGCTCAGCAGGCTTGTCGTTGAAGGCTTACAGTAGAAGCCAGAAAGTTGGAATATCATTATCCTAACCCCTTTAAGGTAAATTATAGGGGATCCTACCATTAATCCATATTCCAACTTTCTGGAGTTCCCTTTAGGGTTTCGGTTCAAGATTCTCGGATTAAGGCTTGAGGCTTCGGGCTGAAATGGAGTCTGGGGTCTGGGCTCAGAGTTGCTCGCAATCTTGGAGTTAGAGGCTCGAGGCCCTCGCGTATGGAGTGTCCGAAAAGGCTCGGGCTTCGACAAATAGCTAGGGTTTGGGGGTTTAATGTGGGCTGTAAATAAACCCTGAGGGTCCAAGTAGTTCCCATTTATGGTTTTTGGTACCTAGAAAGGTGCTAAAGTCCTATAATAAGGAGTACTTGGACCCTCTGGGAAAAGGCTTAATATAGGGGCACGAGCTGCTAATAAACTCTCCCCAGAGGGCCCAGTACCCCTTAATTGAGCAGCATACCTTAAATTACAAGGGGCTTCATATGATGATTTAAGCTATGTTCCTCAATTAAGGGTTATTGGGTTCTGTGGGTCTATGCTTCTGCCGGACATCGGCTAACCTTCGATCGGCCTGCCATCGGTCGGGCATCTGCTGCAAAGCGGCTGCGAGCTGAAATCTCCACCTGCACCAACAGCAGCTCCGCATTCCTAGAACCCTAAAGCCTACCCATAGGCTCCATAGTAGTTCCTGCTTGGGGTTTGTATTTCGGATCCTTTAAGCTAACCCCAAAGGGAACTACTATGGAGCATATGGGCAAAGTCCTAAACCCTGAAAACACATGCATGTCAACGATGTGGATTTTTGGTAGGGTGCCGCATCGTTTTGTGTTGGGGTTCATAACTGGAGCCTACAAACAAGTAATCCCGAAGTCATAAATCCTAAAGCCTAAACCCCAAAGTGGATGTCTAAACCCCAACCTCTCAAAAAAGCCATACAAATACAGAATGTGAATCTACAGTCTAAACCTCTAAACCATAGATTACTACATCCTAAACCTCTAAACCATAGATTATCTATACCCTGCACCCTAAGACCCCTGATGTGATTCCGGCCCCCTCTCACCGCCTGCCGTAGCCCCAGTTCTTCTCGGGCGGAAGGCCTCCACAGCCTTCAGGAGCTCTTAGGGTTGAGGACTTAGGGTTATGGATTTAGGGTTTAGGGTTGAGGATTTAGGGTTTAGGGTTAAGGATTTAGGGTTAGGGTTTAGGGTTTAGGATTTAAGGTTTGGGAGCTCTACGGATTTAGGGTTTAGGGTTCAGGAGCTCTAAGGATTTAGGGTTACGGTTCGTAACAAGGTTTAGAGTTTAGGGCTTATAATAGGGCATAAGGTTTAGGGTGAGATGAAGGTAGCGCCCTTACAATTCGAATATGGTTCCGTTAAGGTTCCTTTGATGGTTCTTTTGAACGGTTCTGCAATGGTTACTACAAGGGTTAAATAATGCTACAATTACTATGAGGATTTAAGTAGGAGCCTTTACGCATGATTGGAATAAAGCTTTGCGACGAACTGTACCATATATTCATCATAAGGAACCGTAGGGAATGACATGGATTTTATTCACGCTTCTATTGTGGAATGGAGGAGTTTGGGATTTAGGGAGAACGCATTCCCCCCCCGACTTGTAGCATCTTCACAGATGTGGAACCCCCCACGGTCACGAACCGCTCCCATTCAAGTCAAGCGATGTCCAGCGAATACTCGATTCCTGGATGACAACAGTGCTGAGTGCTGAGATCTTCAAGAAATCACCTCGGCGATGGCACATCCTCTCCTCGTCCGTCCGCAGAATTTGCAAGAATGCTCCAGCAGCTCCTGCTTGGCTCAAACCCACCAGCGAGCGTACCTTTCTAACTCTGGCATGGCGGCCAGGCCGTGTTCCTGAAGCTCTTTCCGCCGATTCTTAGCAATACCATCATTCGTGCCTTTCCAGTCTTTCATGCATTCACGGCAGTCAATGTGGCAACGCAACTCAACAGTTCCTACTTCGATCGAAGTCACACAGATATCTTCGACAACCAATGAAGACGGAAACATCGAATTACGAAGGTGTCGCTGAAAAGCTTATATCAGCCTTTTGGCAGTCATTCCAGCTGCTGAGACACCGCAGAGCAACACTCACTTGATAATGCAAGTGGCCTCACAGTGGAAATGCACTCGCCGATAAAGTAACCCTAAGGGTCCATGTACCCAAATAGTATATACTTTGGCTCCAAAGTACCTACATAGGGAATACATTAAGGCCAAAGTATACACTGTTTGGGTACATGGACCCTTAGCCTAAGATGACAACTGCCCCCAGGCCTCCCCAGCGACCAGCACAGCGCGGGGGCGGTCCTAGCCGTGTTCGTGGACTTTGCTGCATCGGTAGTACCTCCAGTGGCCGACACTTATAGGGCTTCTGGCTTTGGGAATAAGGTCCTTATTCAGGGATTCTAGGGTTAACAGGCGTTTCATTGAGGTGTAGGTTTAGGACTTACGGCTTACAGGGTTTCGATTTGGGGTTTTAGGTCCTGCAGTTCACGGCTTAGGGATTCGGATTGAGGGGCTAAGCTGTAAACCCGCCTCAAACAGATATCCCCACGAAGACCCAAAACGGCTGCAGCCAAATCAGCGCAATACGAGGCTTTGACCTCACGGGCCCACATGTATACCTCCCTTGGAACCACCATAATAGTATTGTTAAATATTCTGCCGAGACCGAGCATTGGAAACGCTGGCGTGCTGCTTGGGGGAGTAACGAGAATCCCTGCAGCAAGCTCTTTGGGAACAAACAAGAACCCTACAGCAAACTGCTTGCAGTTAACGATACAGCAAACTATCTGGGGAAAGGCTCCTCGAGTCGAAGAACCTTAATGAACGTCCAGCGGTCTGAGACCCACGTCCTAAAGTCCTTGTAAACCCTGAAGGGCCAATTTGACTCATTCAGGGTTTAGGGTTCCGGGTTTGGGGACCCTAAGGCACGGTAGTTTAAAAAATCAAGTGCGTAGATCAATCCCCAAAGCAGAGCTCACCTGTATTGCCAGGTGCTGCAGGGAAGGTCGTCTTCTCCTGGACATGGCTAGCATGATCAGGGTTTCATGGA